CGGTCTTTGCGTTAGCCGGACCCCCACTTGCGGCCCCACCCCCCGGGGGTCAACATGAATTTCCTCATTTGCGAGGCCCTATGCTTGCAGGGGTCCCCTCTATATAGTCTTAGGTAGGTAGGTAGTGTGAGGTGACTTTGAGAGAAGAATATAGCTGTCAAATCTGGACAGGACGGCCTTTCAGGCCTTTTTTATTGTCATTATAGGTACGGGGAACCCCGTAGCAGCCACATCCGTGCTCAAGCCTCCAACAAGGGAACATACGGGAGCTGCACCCACCAGCAGGTGCGATACCTGCTACAGCAGGTGGGCGATACCGGCCAGGGGTCAGCCGGTAGCATCAGGACCGACCTTCTACGATGGGCCAGTCATTGTGCCTCCCCTCCGGTCCCCTCCCCCTATGAACATCAGCAGTCTCTGCTCAATGCCACTCAGGGGGACCAACGGCACATCTCTAGGTGGCGGGCGCCAGGCTTGCCCAGGAAGGTGCATGAGGCCAATAGGGATTGAACCCAAGACCTCCTAAATGCCACTTGCGTGCCTTATCAACTGAGCTAGGCCGTTGGATCAGTTTAATATCTGATCTGTGGTCCATCGGGCCACACTTAAAAAAAAAAAAAAAAACAATGGGCCTCGCTCCACTACTCAACACATGCACAGACGACACAAAATACGGAGGTGCATCTTTCCCTGTTCTACTGGAAGATTCATTCTCATTTTGCACATTTTGCACATTTGATGAGCAGCGGAGCGAGGGCCAATAGCATTAGAAGATCCTCACAATGATTACTCATTCAGAGCAGCATTAGGGCCTCGCCACACCACTCTCGGAAACTTTTTTTGAAAAGTTGCTGCATCGCCACACAGCCTTTTGACACTTAGGGCAGTCAAGAGTTGTCAGAATGGCTCTTGAAACCCTTTCAAGAGCAGCTCTTGAAAGACTGGAAATCCCATTTCAAGCGTCCTTGGCCGAGCCCTTGAGGGACTACCGATTTTCAAGAGTTGTCAGACCGTTATCTTGACGCCATGCGAAAAAAACAAAATTGTATGACTGTTGTTTTTCATCCTGTGTCCAATGGCATCGCCCTTTCGAGAGTGTTGTGTGGCGAGGGGCCGAAAACTCTTGAAAACCCAACTCTCGAAAACGTCTGACAACTCTTGACATATTTCCCCGTTTCAAGAATGGTGTGGCGCGACCCTTAGCCGCGAGGGGCAGCGAGGTCCATAATGCCTGCACGCCGGATTCGGGTCAAAATTTTGGTAAGGGGCGGCAGATGAAGGCGATCGAGGGCAGGGGAGTGTGCAGAGGGGTGTTTGTACCAATGAGAGTTTAATATCTGATCTGTGGTCCATCGGGCCACATTATAAAATTTTTAAAAAAAAAAACGATGGGCCTCGCTCCACTACGCAACACATGCACAGACGACACAAAATACGGAGGTGTATCTTTCCCTGTTCTACTAGAAGATTCATTCTCATTTTGCACATGTTGCACATTTGATGAGCAGCGGAGCGAGGGCCAATAACATTAGAAGATCCTCACAATGATTACTCATTCAGAGCAGCATTAGGGCCTCGCCACACCACTCTCGAAAACTTTTTTTTAAAAGTTGCTGCATCACCACACAACCTTTTGACACTTGGGGCAGTCAAGAGCTGTCAGAGTGGCTCTTGAGCAAAAGGTAAGTACTCTCACCATCCCGAGTTTATCCAGACAACAATAGTTTATGATCTTTCAAGGATTTAACGTTTTATACCCTGCTTATATAAGGGATAAAGGCAGACCACCCAAACTTATGGAATGCGTCTAACTTAGCCATTGAATATACACAAAACAGAGGACACAACTACTTCTCTCTTCTTTGGGTATATGACTATGTCATTCTAGTTGCCCTGAACTGTTTAAAATATCCAAGTTATATATAATTGTCTGCAGTCTTCTATGATTGCATATGACTGAACTAACTCAAGTTCAGTCTGCCCCTGA